AATTGTTGAACTGATAATTTAAACAGGATAGTTTGCCTATGTTTATTATGCTTTCCTTGGAATAAATTGATAGGTACGTTTATTTATGTTTTGTCAAATATATGGATTCTTTGGATAAATTTGATATTTACATATACTGTCTGTATTGTCAAATATTGGATTCTGTGGAATTGTATTAAATAAGCATGTTAGTTCATACATTGCTTAGGTACTCATGCCCACTCAGGTGTTTTTTGCATATTGCATTCTATTCAGGTTGAGACCCTCTTCATAGTCTAGTGAGAGTCTCGTAGTGTGGATATATATATATACGGACTCCATAGCTATTGTTGAGTTGTTTAGGATGTACATGCGTATCGAGTCTCTACTTGGATTGTAGTAGGATAAAACTTGTTCGTGGGCCTGACCCACTTCTATTTTTTAGGTATTCGCCAGTTCCAGTTTTAAACCTGATCGTGCTGAGCAAAGACTATCACTCACTCTTACAACGACGTAGGACTTCTCTCCATGGTTTAATTATAGATGTTCTTTTAGTTATTTATATTTCAGTTTGGATTTTCGTATTAGGGGTCCAACGGATGGATTCCCGAGTTGTTTAACTGTTGGAGGTTATGAATTTTAAGTATTTAATTTTAAAGGATTCTATTTTAGATTTCTTCCAGCTGTTAATTATTTATTTTATATTCAGTTTTGTAATCTGTGTTCATTTAAAATATTTATTGTTTGATATTTCCCTCGGGTTCAGGCTTGGGCCTGATCAACCCGTGTCTCGGATCCGAGGGGTATCACAGTTGATATCAGAAAACTCCAGGTTTTAGTGTCGCTAGGGTGTTTTGTATTAAGACTTCCGCATAGTGTTTTCTCATGATTAGAGCTTAAGTTTAGGACTCATTGTATTCCTTTACGGTTCGTTTAGAAAGTACTGATGTCAATCTTATTCTGTAATTTCAGAATGTTTGCCACTAGGAAAAGGATGTGGTCCGCGATGAAAACAAAAAAGGACCCAAGGAAGAAGAAAGTTACTCCAACGATTCCCCTTCGAAGGCCGACCAAGAAGGCGGAATTGGAGGCCAAGGAATTGGTTCCAATAGGTATTGCTTCGGAGTATAAGTCAAGGAAGTTTTCTGGTGTGTGAGATTGGCCACCATACTGTGGACCTAACACAACTTCAGTGGTGCTCGAAGCTAAGCCAAGTGGAGAGAAAGACCCCGAAGAAGATTCAGATGAAGGAGATACCAGAGCATCCAAGATGGAGGGCACCAGTGTTTAAGGATGAATGCCCTTCTAGGAGTAATTTTAATTACTAGTTGTAGTGGAGATATTACTAAAAACGTAGTACGGATTTAATCACGTACACTAGTATTTTGTTAAAGAATATCTTATGATTATTCATTTGATAGTTCATAGTTTGGAAAAGTTCTTAATAAAGTGAACTAGCAGTTTTGGCTATCTTTATTGTGTTTTGTGATAGCATTTTTGTGATATGTACACATATGGTTTTATTACACTATATTGGGATGTGTATGTTGCGATAATAAATGATTATCACAGTGGAGTGATTGGGTTTGGAACAAGCAAACAAATATTTGCGTGTAAGTACATTATGTTGAGACAGGATGATTACCAAGGAGTTTATAAAAAAACTTGTGTAAATTAGTATGGTAGGTTTGGTTTAGAAGGAAGAATTCCCAAGATAGAATGATAATCTAAAAAATGAAAAGATTACGGAGCATTTTGTTTTACCTTATGTGTTTTTGCTCTACGGAGTATTTGGGAACATTTGGGATATAGTTTTGGGATGACGACGTGGGTATGCAATAGACCTCAGGGTAGGCTCAGATTTCTAGCCAATCTAGTGGTCCTGGACATACACATTTGTACTGTGTTACTTGGGATGGATTGGTTATTTCAGTACCATGCCAAGTTATTTGTTACGGTAGGTCTGTGGTTTTTACCATACCTCGTCAGGATATGTACGTCGTCGCTATGCCACATATTAAGGGGGGCAGTAGCACTTATTTGTTTCATATGGAGGAGGAGGTTACTGCGTCATTGGATCATATACCAATTGTATAGGACTTTCCGGATGTTTTTCAAGAGATTCCAGGGTTGCCACCTAGTCGGGAGATAGACTTTGTGATTAACTTAGCTCCAGGCACTACGCCTATTGCTAGGGCACCATACAGAATGGTACCAGTGGAGATGAGAGAGTTGAGGGATCAAATTCAGCAATTACTCAGCCAGGGTTTTATTCATAGGAGTACATCACCTTGGGGAGCACCAGTTCTGTTTGTAAAGAAGAAGGATGGTTCGCTTCGGCTGTGTATAGATTACAGGGAGTTGAACAAGGTTACTATTTGTAACAAGTATCCGTTACCTAGGATTGATGATCTTTTTTATCAGTTGAAAGGAGCTACATATTTCTCTAAGATTAATCTACAGTCTGAATATCATCAACTTTGGGTTAGGGAGCAGGATGTTCCAAGGACAGCGTTTCTCACTAGATATGGTTCTTATGAGTTTCATGTCATGACGTTTGGGTTGACTAACGCACTTGCAGTTTTTATGGACTTAATGAACAGAGTCTTCAGGGCTTATTTAGATCAGTTTGTCATTATCTTTATAGATGACATTTTGATTTACTCAAAGTCAAAGGATGATTATGCTAGACATCTTCGTATAGTCTTGCAGATGCTTCAGGAACTTTAGTTATATGCCAAATTCGAGAAATGTGAATTTTGGCAGCGGGAAGTGAAGTTTCTGAGTCATGTAGTGCCAGAAAGGGGAATAGCTGTAGATCCAGCCAAGGTTTCAGCAGTGGTTGAGTGGGGACAGCCTACTTCACTCACCGAGATTCAGAGTTTCCTTGGATTGGCAGGATATTATCGGAGGTTCATCTAGGGGTTCTCCGAGATAGCCAGACCACTCACTTATTTGACTAAAAAGGGTGTATAGTTCGTGTCGGATGAGCATTGTCAGAAAGTTTTTGATGAGCTGAAGACTAAGTTAACTTCTGCACCGGTTTTGTCTACCCCATAGAGCGAGATAGAGTATCTTGTCTACATAGATGCTTCTTTGCAAGGTCTTGGATGTATTTTGATGCAAGAGGAGCGACCGATTTTGTATGGATCTCGTAAGTTTAAGCCTCACAAGCTTAATTATCCAACACATGATTTGAAGTTAGCAGCTGTGGTCTTTGCCTTACATATTGGGAGGCATTATCTGTTGGGTGAGTCCTTCAGATTATTTAGCGATCACAAAAGACTGCAGTATTTGTTCACTCAGTGGGAGCTGAATATGAGACAGCACATATAGTTAGAGTTTGTGAAAGACTATCACTTCTCTATATAGTACCATCGAGGGAAAGGGAATGTGGTGGCGAATGCACTCAGTCGCAGACTCGTTGTTAGTCTTTCTACTCTATTCATTACTGAGTGGAATGCTTTGAGGATGGTGGATGAGTTGTCGGATGCTTTCATGGCTTGCATGGTAGTTACGCCTTTTATTATTCACAAGGTTTTGAAGTCACAACTTACGGATCAGCAGTGCATTGACAAAAATTGCAGAGATAACTTCTGGGCAGGTCCCATTTTACTATATTGGGGTTAATGGAGGTTTGAGGTACAAGGGACGGTTAGTGGTACCTTCTACTGACGATTTGAGGAAGGATATGATGACTGAGACTCATCATTCTGAGTTTTCTGTTGATCTAGGAGGCGACAAGATGTATCAGGATATGAAGCGGCAGTTTTGGTGGGCAGGTATGAAGAGCGACATTGCTCTTTTTGTTTCTCAGTGTAGTACTTGTCAGATGGTCAAGATTGATAATCAGAGGCTGCCAAGAGCTCTACAGCCACTACCGATACCGGAGTGGAAATGAGAGAGCATTTTTATGGATTTTGTGGAGGGATTGCCTATTTCTTTCAAGGATCACAATTTTATTTGGGTAATCGTGGACAGATTGACTAAATCAGCTCATTTCTTGCCTATTCGCATTGACTTCACTTCGGAGCAGTGTGAGACTTGACGAACCCATTTCTAATGTGTTTAGAAAATGGACTTTTAAATGCGAGAGGTCACTTCGCAAGGTCAAAATATGAATGTGGTTTCGGAAGCCTTTCTAATCAAATTTACATTTATAAAAACCACTACTACAACTAGTGAAGTATAGCGAGTAGGGATCGTCCACAGAGATTATACGTATTGGAATTTAACTTTGACAATAATGTATCAATTGATTGCAAAGAGAGAGATTGGTTGATTAAACTATAATGCAATGAAATTAAAATGCAAGTAAAGTACACTAGTGAGAGATAGGGATTTAAGAGATATGAAGAGAAGTCTTAGGGTGTTGGAATCACCACTAAGCTCATGTAATTAACCACTTGCTTTCCATTAACGGGGAATACATTGTTGTGAACAAAATGTGACTACCAATTGCAATATTAAGCATGGACCATCAAATTCATGTATAAATTGTCTACCTAACCGACAAATAAACTAAGTGTAGAACAACCCATCAATTCTAAGCATAACCCATCAAACTAGTCACAATTGTAGCACACATCAATCTAGAGAATCATGGAATTTGCAATAATAAGCCATAGAATATCAAAGCAAGCATAGATTGTCTATCTACCTACAAGTATGAATTAAATTGTAGAACAACCCACCAAGCATAAGAATAATCCATCAAATTAATTGACAAACCCATTCAATGAAAACCCATGCTTAGCCATCACTAAATCCTTAATTAATCACACATAGACATGCAACCAATATAAAGAATCTAGTGTAGAGATCAATTCCCAAATAATCACACATAAGACAACATGTAATTAAATAGAGAATCGATAGAAAGAATTAATCCATATGAATCATGTAAGAAATAATTCCTAATTTAATCACACATAGACATATAAATAAACTATACAATTAATATGAAGAATTAAACCATAGAAATCATAGAAATATACCAAGATTCATTAAATTCACAAGGCTAGAACACAAATCACAACAATATATATAAATCCCCAAAAATAGAAATACAAGGGTTTAGATTACACAAGACTTAAGGCTCATCCAAGCCCTAAGTGTAGATATAGCCAATCATGGAGGAGGTGAATGTGGTCATGAAACCCTCAAGGGCAAGTTCCAAACATGGCTTCTTCTTCTTCTTTAAAGCTCTGGAGAGAGAGAGAGTGAATGGATCTAGAGATGTGGTCTTAAGATGTGCCTCCACTTCCCTCTTTTCTTCTAACCCTAATCTCTAACTTTTCTAGAGAGAATATAAAATTACAATGTAAAAATAAAATGATGAAAAACTCTTTAACAAAATAGGTCACTTCCCTTTAAATAGAAGGTCATTTTTTTAACCACTAAGTCAGAAATATAGCCCAAAAATATCTATTCCGGCAACTTTTTGGTAGGTAGAAATCGGCGCTCGGGAATAAGACAGCTTGCTGCCAGCACATTTTCGATCGATCCAACTTTTCTTCGATCGATCAGAGTTTTTTCGATCGATCCAACTTTTGATCGATCTGGGTTTGATCGATCCAACTCTGATCGATCTCACTTTTCTCAGATCTATCAGACTTTTCTCAGATCTATCTAACTTGGCAGTTTTTCAGCATCAGCCTCCTTTTGCTCCAAATCAGCATCCTTTTGCTCCAAATCAGCATCCTTTTGCTCCAAATTCTCACAAAGACTTAGTTTGACTCCAAAAAGGCCTTAAGAAGCCATTTTTAGCTCGTTTTAACTTTATTGACCTAAAAAGGAAAATAACACGAAGTTAGTCTAAAACGGAAAAATAAGATAGATAAAAGTCCTAAAACACTTAAGCTTAAGGGGTTTAAAAGTGCACTTTTCAGCACTCATTACACCCCCAAACTTAAATATTGCTAGTCCATAGCAATGAACTACAAGGTAAAGGAATGAAATAAATAACTATACAACTATGAATCTAGAAAGCAATAAATGGATAATGCCACTTTCGTAGGGAACACGATTACATTTAGCACATGCAACAAGCCTTTTAAACCCCTAGGTTACCCCTAGTGGGCGAGTGAAGTCTCATGAGGGTTTCCAGAAATGATACCCACAAACATTAAGCTCATTCTTTCAAAAGAGCCACCAATATTGCAAACAAGTATTGGGAGAAAACTACCTCAAGTATGCAATTTTTCAAACATTTCACAGTAATCCCCTAAACTCTCAACACCAAGCAAGCAAGTATGGTCCTCCACACATCAAGAAAATGATCATGCAAATCAAAACAACACTAGAATCCTTTTTAAGTGGACCGGCATCAAATATGTTGTTATCTTAGCCAACTAAAGAAATGATCACATCATTACCTTCAAACTAGCACATAAATCTAGTACCGATTATCAAGACAAAGAGTGGACCTTTTATTAAAGTATTATTGTTCTAGGTGCGCTTATTCTTTTCATTCGATTTTTAATTTTTAATTTTATTTTTTTTAAATACTATCCTAAGGATCAAAGATGGAAGCATGGTGCAATGTGTTAATCTATTAAGCTTTCTAGCGATCCATGAGGTCGAGCGTTAGGTCAATGACTCCCAAACCAAACGGCTTTAGGGCACTAGGTGTTCAAACACCCCTAAGGACTTACAAGCTCAAATCAACTAGGCTACAAATCAAAACAACCTCTATCTAATCATTTCCCACTTCTCACCTTTTCGGAGAAGTCCTCACTTTTTTATTGCTTTTGCAACCTTTTTTTTTTTTTTTTTTTTTTTTTTTTAGCAAGTTCAATTATTAACCTAGAGTTTGGGCTCTCCACCATTCGGCGCGAGAAATTCAATGTTTGATGAGGCTAGAATCCCGGCTACTCAATGAAAATGGATTGTTATTCATTTTTGTCAAAATGAAAGTTTTCAATGCACTAGTAGCCCAATTGGGATATAACCAATTCAATAATCAACAATGCATGTACCCCACAAATGAATAGTGTGCGTCTGTGCTAGTGTAGAATTCTAGAGTGAATCTCAAAACAATCACAAAATCAGGATGATGTGGACCACAAATGCAAGCAAGATATCAATCAAAAAATTTACTCCTAAATGGCATTCACAAGGCATACAAGGAGTATTAGACTCTCAAGTCAAGCAATTTTGAAATTTAAGCAATATAGTCCTCTAAAGATCAAAATCATAGTTAACATCAATCTCAAATCTCAATCATATATTTAAAGATCAACTTAAATAGAATGCAAAACTTAAGCCGCACATTGTCCTCAATGTGCAATGAGAACAATGGAAAAGATGGAAAGAGTATACCGTGGTGGTGAAAGACATGAAGCTCGACAATGATCCACTATGAAAAGGGTCTCCCCCAAACTTGGAATCAACAACCTATTTGAATAACCACACTAGCAAACTCACATCAAATATCAAATGGGATAAAGATAACCAAATCATGCAATCTAAGGCAATATAGCATAAGATGAAAGAGAGATATGAGATCTACCCCAATATAAAATATGAAAGAAGCATGACTACACATAAGGGCACAATGGTGAAAATTTTTTATGTTTTTCTCTTTATGAAAGCAAGTATATACAAAATGAAAGAAAAATAAAGAATAAAATACATGAACAAAATGCAAAAAGAAAAATAAATAAGGCAAAATGTAATGAAAGAATATGTACAATGCAATAAATGAAAAATAAAAAGTAAGAAAGAATGCAAGAACAAAATAAGGAAAAATGAAAAATAAAAACTCTTTTTTTTCATTTTTTTTAATGACAAAACAAGTATGTACACACACACAATAAAATGCAAAGAAATAAAAATGCAATAAATGAAAATACCATGAAATAAAGAATGCAAATTTTTTTTTTATTTTTATTTTTTTTGAAAGTATGTACAATGAAATAAAATACAAGAAATATGCACAATGATTGCTAAGTTTAACGTCTCTAGTAAGACAGAATGCTACTTTGAAAAACCGTCTCTTTTTTTATTAATTTTTATTTATTTATTTTTTTTATTATTATTTATTTTATTTTATTTTATTTTATTATTATTATTATTTTGTGCTAAACAAATATGTACACAAACAAAAACAAAAATAAAAAGATAAGTAAATAAAAATGTAAGGAAATAAGGAATGCAAAGAAATAAAGAATACAAAAATTTTTTATTATTATTATTTTTAGAAGCTTCAGATCGATCGAACTTAGATCGATTTAATCTTCGATCGATCGAAAAGGTGGAATCCTGCAGACAACTTCGAACGATCAAACAGAGGGCTACTTTATGGGGTTAAAAAAAAAATTTCTAAGTGTTGGAACTAAAGATCGATCCAAAAACAAGTTGGATCGATCTTGGAACTTAAGATTGATCAGATAGGAACTTCGCACGAGGGACAGAGAGCTGTTTTATGCAAGAAATCTTCGCACGATTAAACAGAGAGGTGATTTGGATGCAGGGTGGAAGTTCGATCGATTAAACCTCTTTTGAGATCGATCGAACAAACACAAAATGCCTATTTTCAACATGAAAGTGCATGCAATCCTAAACCACAGTTCCTAGTAGTGTGTATGAACCCAAAACAAATATCTAGATGTCGCAAGAAATGAAATTAAAAATAGCAATTAGGGAGGAATAAAGTTAAAAACTCTACGAATACTAGTGTTTAACGCCTCTAGTAAGACGTTGGGTCAACTCACTAATCAAAAGAATCAAAAATCGGATATGAAACATCCTTATTGATCCTCTTTTCACTTTTCTCATTTAATGTCCCACTTATGACAATGAAATCATCCTCCAAAAGAATGACTTGAAAAGAAATAAAAGGGTTGATATTGTTCCTTTCATCCACGGTCTTGAAAACAAAATCAATCATGGTTGGTCTTGCCTCTTTGTTGTGTTCTTGAAACACTTTCAAAGGATCATTCACTTTGATAATTGGTGAGGCATTGTCTTTCAAAGACTCATTTGGAATATCAAGAAACACCTTCTCTTCATCTTTTTCCTCTTCCTTAAAAATCACCATCTCCTCACCTTCCAAGTTAGCTAAGGAGTCCATTAGAGAGTTCACTTCATTTTTGGAGCTTTCAAGGTCAAAACCACAATTTTTATACATTTCGAAAAGGCATGTCTCAAGAGGGTCATTGGAGATAATAAAAGGAAGGCCCTCTTCAGCAAGTTCTTCCTCCTCCTCTCCTACCTCTATAGTGGTCAACATCTCCTCACTTTCTAAAGTAGCAATGGTGGAGATAAAATCATAATCAAAACAAGGAAAGTCCTCATTAATCATATTATGCTCTATTAGATTAGCCACTAACTCATTTACCACTTCCTCCTCTATACAAGATAGAGTGCTAGGCATTAGCTCACTTGCTACTTATTCCTCTTCACTCTCATCATCCTCATTTATATACATTAAAGTTCTTGCCATTTTTTCATTTGCCTCTTCCTCTTCCTCTTGATGAGAAAGAGTACTTGCAATTTGCTCAACTTGAGCTTCTAACTTGTCTAACATTTGAGAATGAGAATTAATAAGTGGAGCTTGTGAAATATGCACATCAAGTAAAGCTAAAACTTTTTCTTCAAATCCAGGTGAATACCTAGAAGGTAGTGGAGTTGATTCATCATAAAATGGTGGGGGAGGGTAGTAGTCATAAGGAGGATCATAAAAGTGATTAAGTCCATGATAAGATGATGCATGTTGAAATGAATTGGACTCAACCTCATAAGGATCAAAATATGGTGGAGGGACATAAGGTGAGGGGAAATAATTTTCCCCAAACTTGGATTAAACAATGGTTTCCACATTCAAAATCCAAATGCAAGAAATAATGGCCTCCACACGGGCCAATGCTTGGACAAAAAATTTAAGCAATATAATTAGCCTCAACAAGGGCTATCACAAGCATGCAAAGAAGTGCACAATTAAAATACATGAGTTCCAAGAATTGTTCATAAAGGTCCTTAAGCAACTTCAAATTTTAATGTTAGCTTTAAGCTTCAATGATTGCTTCAAGTTCCAAAGTTCGCCTTCCTTATAGTCAAGTACCTAATTGACAAATAATATAAAGAATGAGAAACGAATATACAATGGAAAATAAAAATAAAAGCAATCTAATGAACATTATTGTTTTGTTTAATTCCAACAAAACCGTTAATCCTCGGCAACGGCGCCAAAATTTGACGAGCCCCTCTCTAATGCGTTTAGAAAACAGACTTTTTAATGCGAGAGGTCGCTTCGCAAGGTCAAAATATGAATGTGGTTTCGGAAGCCTTTCTAGACAAATTTACATTTATAAAAACCACTACTACAACTGATGAAGTATAGCGAGTAGGGATCATCCAAAGAGATTATACGTGTTGGAATTTAATTTTGACTCTAATATATCAATTGATTGCAAAGAGAGAGATTGGTTGATTAAACTAAGGTGCAATGAAATTAAAATGTAAGTAAAGTAAACTAGTGAGAGATATGGATTTTAGAGATATGAAGAGAAGTCTTAGGGTGTTGGAATCACCACTAAGCTCATGTAATTAACCACTTGCTTTCCATTAATGGGGAATACATTGTTGTGAACAAAATGCGACTACCAATTGCAATATTAAGCATGGACCATCAAATTCATGTATGAATTATCTACCTAACTGACAAATAAACTAAGTGTAGAACAACCCATCAATTCTAAGCATGACCGATTAAACTAGTCACAATTGTAGCACACATCAATTTAGAGAATCATGGAATTTGCAATAATAAGCCATAGAATATCAAAGCAAGCATAGATTGTCTACCTACCTATAAGCATAAATTAAATTGTAGAACAATTCATCAAGTATAAGAATAATCCATCAAATTAATTGACAAACCAATTCAATGAAAATCTATGCTTAGCCATCACTAAATCCTTAATTAATCACACATAGACATGCAACCAACATAGAGAATCTAGTGTATAGATCAATTCCTAAATAATCACACATAAGACAACATGAAATCAAATAGAGAATCAATAGAAAGAATTAATCCATATGAATCATGTAAGAAATAATTCCTAATTTAATCACACATAGACATGTAAATAAACTAGATAATTAATAGGAAGAATTAAACCATAGAAATCATAGAAATATACCAAGATTTATTAAATTCATAAGGCTAGAACACAAATCACAACAATATATATAAATCCCCAAAAATAGAAATACAAGGGTTTAGATTACACATGACTTAGGGCTCATCCAAGCCCTAAGTGTAGATCTAGCCAATCATGGAGGAGGTGGATGTGGTCATGAAACCCTCAAGGGCAAGCTCCAAATATGGCTCCATCTTCTTCTTCTTCTTCTTTGAAGCTCTAGAGAGAGTGTGTGTGTGAATGGATCTAGAGATGTGTTCTTGAGATGTGCCTCCACTTCTCTCTTTTCTTCTAACCCTAATCTCTAACTTTTCTAGAGAGAATATAAAATTATAATGTAAAAATAAAATGATGAAAAGCGCTTTTACAAAATAGGTCACTTCCCTTTAAATAGAAAGTCCTTTTCTTAGCTACTAAGTCAGAAATATAGCCTAAAAATATCTATTCTCGCAACTTTTTGGTAGGTAGAAATCAGGGTGCTCGGGAATAAGACAGCTCGCTGCCAGCACATTTTCGATTAATCCAACTTTTGTTCGATCGATTAGAGTTTTTTCGATTGATCCAACTTTGATCGATCTAGGTTCGATCGATCCAACTCTGATCGATCTCACTTTTCTCAGATCTATCAAACTTTTCTCAGATCTATCCAACTTGGCAGTTTTTCAGCATCAGCCTCCTTTTGCTCCAAATTCTCATAAAGACTTAGTTTGACTCCAAAAAGGCCTTAAGAAGCCATTTTTAGCTCGTTTTAACTTTATTGACCTAAAAAGGGAAATAACACAAAATTAGTCTAAAACGAAAAAATAAGATAGATAAAGGTCCTAGAACACTCAAGCTTAAGGGGTTTAAAAGTGCATTTTTCAGCGCTCATTAAGACTTTACATTTCAGAGATTATAAAGTTGCATAGAATTCCGTTGTCTATTATATCGGATAGGGATTTGATCTTTGTGCTAGGATTTTGGAAGAGTTTTTAGCGGGCTTTGGGTACAGAGTTACATCTTAGCACTACTTATCGTTTTCAGACTGATGGACAGATTGAGAAGGTGAATCAGATCATGGAGGATATGCTTAGGTCGTGTATTCTTGATTTCAAAGGCCACTGAGAGGATTATTTGCCGCTTGTGGAGTTTGCATATAACAATAGTTTCCAGAAGACTATTGGTATGGCACCATTTGAGGCATTGTACGACCGATCATGTTGATCACCTATTTGTTGGATGGAGGTTGGCGAGAGCAGATTCTTGGGTCCTGAGTTATTAAGGATACTTCTGATAAGATCACTTTTATTAGGGATTACCTGCGCACTACCCAGAGTAGGCAAAAGAGTTATGCCGATCGTGGCACTTGTGCTTTGGATTTTTAGGTTGATGATCGGGTTCTGCTCAAAGTGTCTCCTATGAAAGGAGTAATATGTTTTGGGAAAAAAGGGAAGTTGTCACCGCGGTTTTTCAGTCCATTCATGATTACAGATCGAGTTGGAGCTGTAGCTTATCGGTTGGCACTTCCGAATAATTTGGATCGTATACACAATGTGTTCCATGTTTCCATGTTGCAGAAATTTCTGCGAGATAAGGATCGGTATCAGCATATCGATACTGGGGAGATTGAGTTGCAGTCGGGCGCAACTTATTTGGAGCCACCGTGTCGTATTGTCTACCATTGGGATCAAATCCTTCGTAATAAGGTTATCCCTTTAGTGCGTGTTTAGTAGAGTCATCACAATGAGGCTGAGTCTACTTGGGAACGGGAGAATGTGATTCGCTCGCAGTTTCATGAAATATTGGAAGAATGTAAGAGTGAATTCCGAGGACGGAATTCTTTTGTTAGGGGGGAATAATGTAATACCCCTAATTTTAAAAGGATAGTCTCGGCATTTTTTTATTATTATTATTGTATGGCATTTTTATTCTGATTAATTGCTTAAATGTTGAATTATTTTTATTTTAGTGAGTTATTTGGTTAATTATTTTATTTTATTTAAATTATTTGCTTAATTGTTTTATTAAATTGTGTTTTGTGTACTTAATGATATGCTTATGTGGTAATTTAATTGAGTTATTTTTCTTTTATTATTAAATGCTTAGGTGGAATTTAATTGGTTGTTTTATTAAGTGTTTAATTAGGGTTTTGTATTTGTCTTTTAAGAAATCACATTGAGGGTTTTAGCTGACTTTTAATTAGCTTGGAATTAGGATTAGGGTTTTCATTGACATCTATAAGTATATGAGTTGTGTCTGCCTAAGGTTTTAAGACACACATTCAGTTTCGTTGACGTCTATAAGTATATAAGTTGTGTCTACCTAAGGTTTTAAGACACACATTCAGTTTCGAGAATAGAGAGAGTTTTGTGAGACTCAGGAGAAGCAAAGAGAGGAGAACAAGGGTTTAGCTTGGACTAAGGCTGAACCAAAGAAGGATTAAAAGGGGTTGTTCGTGTGTTAAACTAAGGAGGAAACAGAGGAGTTGGAGCAGTAGGAATTGCCAACAGTGTAGGAAGACGACGGTGTAAGTTTCAGACTGAGACTTAAAGGCAAGTTCTATTCCTAACTCTCTCCCTTTGACTTGTGTTCTTTACATGCCTAACACAACTCCATAAATAAATAAGTGTTAAATTAATCTGGTTTGCAAGTTAGGTTCAGTTAAAATAGTATGGGTTTACATGAATTGGTAATTGCTTATTTATAAATTTTCTTGCATAGTTCATGTTTTAATTGATGTCGATTAATGAATAAAGAATTTAATTGATTCTGGAACACAATGGGACCTAGTTCAGACATCTAAGAACCTTAGGAATGGAGGACAGAGGAATTAGAATTCGCCGGAGACGGAAACGATGGAGAATAACAAGAGTGGAGGTGGCTCAATCTTTAATGGAGGCTCAATCTTTAATGGAGGAGGCTTAATCTTTAAATAGAGGTGGCTCATTTGATATTTTTAATTTTTTTTAGCATTCGAGCGAGTTTCTGGCTACTGTAAATGGATTTTGAGGTTTCAGACTTCATTTAGGAACTGCTAGGGTAGGATTTGAATGGTTTAGAAGGACAAGTTAAAATCCAGAATGAGTAATAAGCTTTTTGTTGTTAGAAATTTAAACGATATGGAATTTCATAACAAACTATGCATACTGATCTTGATTATGGGCTTTTAAATTGCTTGTATTTGTTTTAGTAGTTTTCTGGCAATGATTATACAATTCTGATCATGTATTAGTGGTATAAAGCGAGCATGCTAAAATTTATATTTTTATTATGCTTGTTAGGTATTAATTGATGATTAAATTTTAGCCTTTATTGCATCAATTGTTGGACTGGTAATTTAAGCATGATAGTTTGCTTATGTTTATTATGCTTTCCCTGGAATTACTTAATAGGTACGTTTATTTATGTTTTGTCAAATATATGGATTTTGTGGATAAATTTGATATTTACATATACTGTCTGTATTGTCAAATATTGGATTATATGGAGTAGTATTAAATAAGCATGTTAGTTCATACATTTCTATTATGCTTACTATGGATTAGTTGATGTCTACATTTATTAACTGTATTATCAACTGCTGGATATTTGGATTGTATGCACCGGTATGGGACGGTGGCATACTAGGGACGGATTAGTTTCAAAATACTACATCCTACCTATATAGAATAAGGGAATGGATTATGAAATAAATCCTACTTATATTTAAGTCAGATCAGCTGAAATAAAGTTGAATGACTAATTGGATTACTTGCTATGGATATGTAAGTCTGTGCGGCTGAACAAGCTGAACGGCTTACTGGATTTCTTATGGATAGATATGATAGGACTTTAAATATATTTTTATCGTACCGCGATATGGGCTTGAGTCTCAGAGTCGACGGTTAGGGAGCGTATATACAGTAGGATACGTAACTGGCTATGCTGGTTGAGGTAT